TCACCGAACTCCCCACGTCCTACACTACTCATCAGAAAATCAAATTTCTTAGTGCCTGGGAAACTAACCACTCCTTGCTTTGTCCTATGATCATGTACCATCAGATAAATTCAGAAGGCCTACATACCTGTGGAAGCCCCCAGCTTGAACCTGCAATGTGAATCAAAGAGACACCTGGACCTTATATGTATATTTCCTCCACTAGCTCTCTTCTATCTCTATCCTTCTATACCTAGCTAATAAAGTAACATACATCATCTACATACATACAACATACTCCAAATCTACCAACCAGTGTTTTAAAGACAGCATTGACTTCTGAAAATAAAATCCTCATCACTCACCTCTGCTAAAGTTTGGATATTCCAGATCCAGAAGTCTAGAAAAACCTCAGGTGAAAATATGGGGTTTATGTTATTTAAAGCCAAGACACTGCTTAGCTTTGCTGAAAGCTATTGGGACGTATTACAAATGGAGGTACAAGAATTCAAAAAGCAACATGCATGTGTGAGAAGGCCAGCATACGACCACATCATATCAGTCACAGAGACATGAAAAGCCTCAGCAGAGAGTAAACAAGAAAAGGACGGAAATAAACTCATGAGTTTCAAAATACCCACAGCTGATCACATTTCAGGGGCTATGTATCACGAACGCACTGGATTCACTCATAGTGTCAGAGTCACAGAAACAGAATCAGATATCTGAAATGACTGGTAAATCATTATACCCTCTGCTCAGGAATGATAACAGTCAGTCTCAGCTCATGCCATCCCCTGGCACTTCAAGGGTCTCTTCTGAAGACCACAGGAATACTCTGAGCATTTACTCAAGCCACAAGTGGGGATGTTTGGGCAATTTTCCGTATTACCTTATAAAAAATATTGTTTTCTAAATAGCTACTTCTGCTGTGAACCTACTATCTGGTCAGTTTTATACTATGGGTTTTATACTGGAGACAAAAAATTGCATAAAAACGAATGTTGAGCAATTGCTTTGCAAATGTTTCTCATTACACAGGTTCACATGCATTTTTCTTCTAAACGATCAATGTATTTTTCTCCTAAGTGATCATGGAGGCAGGAGCAAGAAGACAGAGAGAGACAAGCCTGTCCTCACATTCATCCACAGGAACAGCAGGCCTTTGAATAGTGAGAACTAAAAAACAGGTCCTTCATAGGCTTCAGAAGATCTTTTGAGCAATAAAGCACTGACTTCTGCAGAAGTGCTGTTACTCAGCACCTGCTCATGGAGGTTGCAGTTTGCTGAACAGCAGCAATTACTTTTGATACTCCTGAGGTACCGGTTAGCATTTCTCCACCACCTACTACCCAGCCATGCTGGGTTGTTTTCTAGTTTGGTAGTTCCCCTAGGGCAACTTCTGAGGCAAGACCTCCACAGTCTGCAGCAGGATCTGGCCTTTTACACTTTGCTTCTGGTGTGTTTTGAGTTAAAACACTTTCCCTTATTCCAAACATTTTTTTTCAGAAGTAATTACTTGCTTTCAAAATGAGAGAAGGATACCTTACTTAAATGAAAGTGTAATTTAAGATGTAAACCACCTAGCAAATACCACACTGACTTTTTGCTGCTCTGGACATTAACTGTAATACAGTAGGTCTGCAACGTGATCATTAGTGCTTGTTCCATTTCCTCTATTAGAGATAATAGCAAATACAATACCCTCATTTCCTTATTGCTGATGGCAGTACTGCCAGACTCTTTTGACTGTAAATCTTCTCTTTCCTCTATGCTGCCAAAGGAGTTTTGCACACAGCTCAAAACAGGTCTCTGAAAATGTTTTTGACAATGGTTCTGAGTCAAAGTATCTGATAAAGCAGATTGGTGTGACAACAAAACCCACTCTATTCCTTTGCCAACCTTTCAGTATTTAAATACATTATTAACATGAAAAAATTAGTTGTAAATCTTACAACAAATGAATGAAACAAATGTAAGCCAGCAAAATGATGAAGCTACTCATTCAACAAGCCTACACCCTGCAAAAAGATTATGTATGGAGCCATTTGTTGTTTAGCCTTGCAGCAGAAACAATATACTTAGGACATAAATCCCTTCCTCTCCCAGAAAGTGGCAGTTCTTCAAAAGGTTTTTTACACAGATATTCAGTTCACCCATTTGCTTATTTGTTCTTGACAGGAATGCACTAGAAAGATCTTCACAGGATGCTCATGAGACCCTTGTTAAGATGTTGTCATCACTGAAGGGAAAAAAAGGAGAGACGATCTCTCAGCCTTTATGGGGTCATCTCTTTGTAGAATATGTTAAAGCAAAGCAAATCAAGCAAATTTTGAAAAAATAAATACATTTTGCCTGCAATAAATCAAATGGTATTTCAAAAAGAAACAAACACACAGATCAGGATGTTGTTCCTTCTCCACTACACATCACCATGCTGTCTGCCACACACATGGCGATACTCCCACTTTTGACACAGGCAAAAAACTTGTATATTTGTCCCACGAAACATAGCTTGATACAAATACAATACCATTGGTTCAGCCTGCCTTTGCTGACTGTGACTGTAAGAGCGTACAGGCAAGGAAACAAATCCTCTCCTCTCTGTCAGACATCCTGCCTTGACAGGTAGGGTCTAAGATGTATCAGAGGCAGGTTCTTTTACAGAACTCTTTTTTTAAGAACGGTGTTAGAACCTCTTTACACTGCATTCTCCTACAGTGATCATTGAAGTGAGTGTTTATGTTATTCCAAGAGGCTGAAAACAAGATCAAAACTCATAGCCAGTAATATTTCTTTCTATTTTGTCTTGTGCTGTGATTTGCCCACAGATTTCTTCCCTTATCATGACAGCGGGTGCACTGCGAGCTATCCATACATTAGGACATCATTTAGTTACTGTCTCATACTTTACCTCAGGACACACTTGACATGGAATTTAGAATACCTGACAATTATTCAAGCTTTGCTATATCAGTTAGAACAATCAGCAGATCTGCAGTGACATTCCTTGCATTAATTTGCATAACAAAGAAATGTCATTTTGAAATCTTTTAAGAGTCTCATCACTGACATATCCACCTTCAGGCCAGGTATTCCATTGTAACCAGCAACTGTTGGAAACACAGTCAGCAATTGTTATGACTACCATCACTTTAAGGTTATATCTACATACACATAATCTTGTCATATCCTCAAAATGAAAGAGACAAAGCCATCATTTGATAGGCTTACATCTTAGAATATTTATATGGGACATGTGTTTGATCTATGATCAGTTACATACAAGTTATAGCTGCCCTGTGTAATAGATAATCTGCTTCGAATCTAACACAGACCAAGCCCAGAAGAAAAACATTAATTAATTTAGACTGAATGGGATAGCTGGACAAGAGTGAAGTTGTCTCTCATGTTGTGGATACGTATGGGTGCAGGAGAAAGAGGACAATTCAGCTTGTTGCACATGAGACAGAAAGCCCCTTGGACAAACCACTTTTGTGTGCAGCCCTCATGGGAAGCAGAGACAGGGCATGGGATACAGCACTGGACAGCAAGACTGATGTTGGACCTGTCTGCTCTCCTTTTCCTCCTAATTCAGCAAGCTTTAGAAACGATCAGGACTGCACAAATAGCACGAACAATTTGTGTTTTCATGTATTTTGCCCCCTGAATGTAATTAAGCAACTATGCAGTTATGGCTCTGAATATAGAGAAAACACTTGTGCAAAATGAAGGCAGTTACATATTACTTCCTGGGTCAGATTGACGGGGAAAGATTTGAGCTCTACATTTACTTTTATTTTTTGAAAACAACGTATCTTTCAATTAAGCAGAAAAAAATAAAACCAAAGAAAAGAAATCATTTCAGTGCTTTAACAGATGACAGAACTCAATTTGTAATTAGAGCTTTACAGCTGTTTTAGTAAATGTACTTGAATAAAAAGCAAATGTTCTCAGTGCAATGTTCAAATTCCTCTCAGATTTATGTATGGTATGCTTGTGCACCATGTGCTTACACAAATCTCTTATCCACTTAGACATGATTCTGGTTAGGCATTTAACTGGAAATGAGCATGCATCTGATTTGTGCAAGCCCTACTGCCACAAACCATGCAGATGTCCTCAATATGAAATTTTCCACATTAGCTATTTGTAAACAAAGCCAAATTTTTTTTACAAATGGTCCTTTAAGTACAATGCAGATCATGAAGAGATCTGAAGAGATTTGCCACAGGAAGTAATGAATTGTGATGGATGAGTGCACAGAAATATTGCACAGGTGGTAGTTCAGTTATTCACTTAAATTGTTTTAAAAATATTTGATAATTCTCACTATTAAAAATTCAGTAATCTCCTGCTTTCCAGGGTCAATGAAGGGAACTTTTGTACACAAAGGGTGATTGTTGGGCCCATCACTCTATTCTTTCCCCCCTTTTTTTTTCCCCTTTTCCCTTCTGAGGCACAGGTCTGTGGGTCCTTTCGCCCTGCTAGTCACAGAACTGGGCCGAACCAGATCATAAGTCATTGACACAGCTGTTTTTTTGTTTGTTTGTTTGAAGAGTCCCGCACCCGAAGTCACTCACATCCCATCTGCACTAATCACACACTGCTGAGCACATTCCTGTTCCAAGATCTATGCAGTTCTGCAAGTTGACCCCTTCATGCCAAATACCTGCTGCAGGCTACCTCATGGTGCCTGTAATTTCAGATTGCATACAGGGCTAAAATGACCAACACGGAACATTATAGGTTTTGAAATTGGACAGAACATACACGCCACTGTTAACAGACAACTTAGAACATTAAGAAAATTAACTACATTGCTGACTGCCATCTTATGTCACTTCTTGCGCCTCAAAGTGCCACCACCTTAAAAAAAGTCAATACAAACATAATTACAGGAAGGAGGTTATGTGGACAGTCTCCAGTGAATTCCCGTGTTTCTTTCATGCTTAGGTATTTATTGAGCCATTAGGGGTGAAAGATTTGGTGCTGAGCATGTAAGGCTAGACAGTACTCACTGCAACCGCCTCCAGGATCTGTTTAACAGCATCAGCAGCATCTCGTTCACTGTAATAACCCTTTTCCACAATCCTACAAAAAAAAAGCAGTGAGAAAAACTGTGTTCAACGTTATGCATTAAGATAAATTAACTTTGCAGGCAAAAGCTTCTTTTGAAAAATGAGTGAGAAAATAACCAAATTTAAATACTATGAGGAGTGTGGAGTCCCCACTAAAGCATAGGAAATAGTCCTTTGGCAATTCAGGTTATCAGTGATTTCAGCTAAATGAGAAGACAGAGTTAAGGTGTCAGCTCAGTGAGGTGATAGGTTAACATAAGGGCTGCTCCAAAAGTAATGCCTCTTATTTTTATTATCATGGCCTACAAATATTCTGTTTCGTTTTGTTGCCGTGACACAGCTGGCAGCAGGGGTGCAGAGTGACCAAATGTGATTGACAAGGAAGTGCATATGAAGCAAAGGTGTGTCAATGAATTCCTCCATGCAGAAAAAAATGCAAGCATTGACATTCATTGACATTTGCTGAATTTTTATGGAGTAGATGTGAACACAGAGAGATGGTAGCTGGTACATTTCAACAGTGGTGACAGTGACAAGTGGGTAACCTATGCTGGTGGAGATTTTTATGAGGGCAGCATACAGGCTTTTTTCATCACTGGTGAAAATGCATAGCTCATGGCAGTGGCTATGTTGAAAAATAGAATTTGCTCTATCAAATAGTGTTCTTGTTCTCTTTGTAACTCTTGTTTCAATGAAAATAAATAGCAGCCATTACTTTTGGAGGGATCTATAAACATACACATTCAACTGAAAAGTTTTGCAGTTTTCTAAAATTGAAGAAATATGAAATGCTTTCATATAGATATAACCAGAAATCCTTTAGGAATGGCTCTTTTTTCTTTTTTTCTTTTTTTTTCCCATTTATAGTTATGTTTTTTTACCTCATTTAGGTAAATGAAGTAAAATGAGGTTTATGGCAAAAACGCATTATGCCAATGCCAATACAGATCTGGATTGCTTAGAAGAAATGCTTGGTGTGAAAACATTAATTTCAAATTATCCCTTCATATGATGGGCTATAACAATCATTCTTCCCCCTTCAGCATGAAATCAGGGGCTCTGTCATCAAAAAAATACAGCTTCATTAAAACAAAATATATATATATATTTTTAATGTAAACAGCCAGTATATTAAACTTATTTAGTACAAATGACACACAAAACTAAGCTTGTAAATGTTCTTATCGGGCACAGCTTTTGGTGAGTTCCATTACACTTAGGAGCTCTAAACATCCAGAAAATCTTTTTTTTTCCTGTTTGCTTTTATATCAGTTCAATTGTGCTTATATCATACCAACACAAAGGTAAAACAATGCAAAGTTTACTCTGTGACCAACCTGACTCAGACAACTGTATGTCAGTACTGGTAGGATAATGTTTTCATTATTCACACTAAAATACTCAGTGGAAGAAGGGCACAGATGCTGAAGATGATGCAGTTGTGAATTTATACTTTACAACAAATGGATACGATGAAGTGTGGGCCCATATTTTAGGAGAGTAACACAACAGAACTGTAGAACTAGTGCTCAATGTACATGGCTCACCAGCTTAGGCTACCAGTGCACAGTATGCAGTAGCAAGCCAATTATTCCTCGTGTCATGTGCAGCTAATTTCCTCTTTTTTTTTTTTCAGAATTCTAGAGAACAGACTTAATAAGAATAAAAACACAACTATTAATTAACGATTATCTAGCAAGTAGAAAGCCTAATCTTCTGTAACAGCAGTAAATGAAAAAAGACATACTTATTCATTCTATGAACATGTATTTTTAGGGGAAGCCTGCTTTAAAACTGAAAACCTGAAAAGCTCTGAGGCAATAAAGATGAGTACCTAAAGAAGATTCCTGCAGTTCAGGTCCTGTAATAATGCTGGGGGATCATCTACATATCTATTTTTTGCACCCTCCTTGCAGCAGTTTACATAAGACAAATGGTAGGTGTGACACTGCTTTATTATCACAACACTCCTACCTGAAGCCAATGAAGCTTCTTTACAAGGATTTTTCAATTTCAGCTTGTAGTTTAACACTGAATTATTGCTCTTTCTTTCCATAAAGGGAAAGATATCTGCAGGAATGTCTTATTCTGTTATTATGGAAATTAAAAAAATATTTATACTTAGCTTACAGAAGGATCTTTAAGAAACACTTGGATGAAGAAAAAGTAAACCTTCACTGAGAGAACAGAAAGACAAGAACATTAATGGTAAGGAGCTAATTAATTCCTGCCTTTGATATGTAAATGGAAAGTCAAGTAGACCAGAGCTTGAGAGAAAAAGTGGGAGGAAGACAGAAGGCAACTGAGAAGAAAGTATACAGAAATGCTATTTCAAGGTCCAAGAAAAAAGAGGTAGGAAGAATTATAAATTTGGTGGCACAAGCATTCAGAAAATTTAAGATAGCCCTTCAAATTGATGATGACATTACAGAGAAAGCAAAAATATTATACCAATGATAGAAATAATCCATATTCTCACTGTGCAGAATCACATTTATGTATACATATTTAATGAAATATGTTGATAGTAACAGCCAGACACACCTAACAGAGTACACACTGATACATATCAAGTTCCAGGTCTCCTAAAAGGCCACATGCTCGAATGAATCTGAGACAAATCCTTTTTCTGCTGTACGGAAAAGCACTTCTCAAAGGCCCCTCCTCACTGCTTTTCTATAGGGCAGCTGGAAATGCTGGTACCGAACTATAGAAACATAGGACTGAGCAAAACCAGCTATAGTGAATACTGCCATGCAAACCCAAAGGCAGCCTGCAAGAAGGGTGCAGCCTTTTTCCTGTGATCTATTCTATGTAGCAGACAGCTGAAATTTCACAGCTTCCACCTGATCATCGAGACTATTCACAGAATCACAGAATGGCCTGGGTGGAAGGGATCTCAAAGATCATGAAGCTCCAACCCCCTCCACGACAAGCAGGGCCACCAATATGCTCAATAACTTGCAGTGATGCTCGCTAGCTCCCACCTAGTCTTTGTATCCTTTCTGTTCTGTGTATTGTGAGGCTTCTGACTATATAGATACTGCAGTTCCGTAGGTACTCTTTAGTGTAGTTGTGTAGATTTCTCGTGCTGCCCTTTTATGAAAGAGAAGGTTCCTCTGCTGCTTATGTCCTTCATTATGTGCATCTTCACTGCAGCATCATTCCATAGATGTTTCCACTAGTTTGCAGCCTGCAGATTAAGCTGGGAAGAACACAAGCTGGATTCTACTCCTGTTGGAACACTCTCCCTATAGTTTGGGATTGAGCTTTAATTCATCACATCCTTATGAAGCCACTGACAGCGAGAGGGTGTCACAATAAAGGCATGCACTAAGTGTTCCCACTCACTATGCTGAAATTTTGTTACTGACGGAAAAGAAATAAGAGTAGGAGCGTAGTCCACCTAAACATAATACATTTGAGCTGAAAATCAATGAGGAAAGAGGTGAGAAATCCTGATATATCATTTTAAAATCAATTTGCAGAGCAGCATTAAAATTACACTGATACACAACTGTGCAGTTGAATGTAGCACAGGTATCTGAAGACAAGCGTGTTGGGTGACAAGGTGAAGCAATCAACTTCCCACAGAGACAAAAAAGTGAACATTTTATCACGGAAGGATAGGACGAGGCTAGTGAGGTCCTGGCCAGGCATAAGTTGGGGCTGGGTGTCCTTCCTCAGGCAGCACAGACTCGGGGAGATCACCAGTCTTTCACAGCAGCAGCTGCTGAAACTTGTGATTCTGAGTACTAGCAGGTGGGAGAAGCAAATACTGAGAACAAACTGCACAAGGATTGGTTTCTGTACCACATATTGGACCCCAAAACTGAAAGTCTCTTCCTGATTGTTTTTCTTAGGAAGAGAAATCCACTGCAAAGACTATCTCCATAATTTGGAATAGAAGCTGTTTTAGTGACCCTTTGTGACCAAGTAAATCTTACCTACTTTAGCAAACTGACCTTTTCCTCCTCCACTCTCCATACTGACACATTCTCCTATTCTTAGCTCTAACTCCCCACTTCCTTCCTACGCAGGCCAAACTTCCCAACCTCCAGCTCAGTCTGAAATCTCAGCATAGAAAGTCTTGCTTCCTTCACCTCAGAAAGATAAGTGCAGGTAATTTTTATGTAAATCAATCTAAACAGTTACTATAAAATTGGCAAATTCTAGCCAATGCCTGATATTGTTAGTACAAATACTATTTCTCCAAGCTATGGAGCTGCTTCTAAAACAGTATTAAGAAATATATAATTTAGCTTTCAAATGCCTCCAAATACATTTAGCTGTCTGAAAGGAAAAAAAAAAAAAAATCACATCTCCTTTCTATTACGTTACCAGCTTCCAACATTATTTCTTTTTATATCTTGATGCTAAGCTTATATTTGCCTTTTTTGATCATTCTTTATAAATAGCACAATATCAGAAAAAGGTATTACTCTTGTAAGGGCCATTTTCATTCTTTTTCTGTCTGGCTTTTATGTCACCCTCCTGTACCGTGTTACTGGTGGTCTGCATCCCATTACATCACATACAGTACTACTGAGATAATTGCTTATACAAATACAAGACCCATTTGAATAGCACTATGTGCTGATTTTTTCAATATTTGATTTTATATAATGAATGTTCACTTATCTAAAATTCTCTGGTTGCCATGGAGATTTTCTCTGTACATATTCACTTAATTCTTACATAAAGATAATTTAAAAATAAAATTAATGTGCTTCTACAAGGTAAAGTAAGCCTGAAAATTAGTCAGAAACAGGGACAGAAAATGATATCACTCTATTCAATAGCAAAAAAGTTTTCTACAAAGAACGCCTTTCCAATGAGTGATTCATAAAATGGCCCATGCCTCTATTGAGATGGTTTAGATTCCTTACTGCTTTGATACATTTGATTAGTTAAAAAGTAAAGCTTTCTCTTTAACTATGGATGCATTTTTCTTAATAAAGCTTTGAAGAATAGTATATACGAATACCATAGCTCAGATTCAATTTGCTGATT